GGTGGGGGGTCCTCCTAAGGAATAACGTACAGCAGTTCAGGTATCCCAAGTAGTGCAAGATTTGTTCCATCCAACATTTTCTTTAACCAGGCGCAAACGTGATCTGCAGTGGAAGCCAAAGCGGCCACAGCTTATAAAAGCCGCGTAGAACTCGAACCACCCCTACCGAGACGGCTATGAGCGGTGAGAACTCCCAAACCCTGAATGCTACACCTAGGTTCCCCAGTAAACCCCAAATAATAAGGGTACCCCTTTTCCTACTGTTCTGTTTTTATGAGGAGACCCCCAAACAAAAAGGGTAAAAGGATACTACCGGGGTACCTAGACACACCAAACGCTAATCCGAAAACCTCAAACCTCAGTCCCAAACCGTTTAGGGTTTAGGGTGAAACCCAATACCTAAACCACGTAATGAAGGGGTTCTATCATCATGTAGGCTATACGGACGGATTAAGGGGGTATTGGGCTCTTTGGGATGGGTTTGTAACATCCAAGCCCTAAACCCTGAATCCTAAACCCTAAGCCCTGAATCCTAAACCCTAAGCCCTGAATCCTAAACCCTATAAGCCTTAAATCCTAAACCCTACAGGCCTTAAATCCTAAACCCTATAGGCCTTAAATCCTAAACCCTGAACCCCAAACCCTAAACCCTAAACCCACTCTTTCTAAGAGCTGTCCAGGTACAGTAGAACTCACGCTGCGAATCCCCAGCTGCAGCAGTGAAGTGATGTGTGGCATCTCCAAGCCTAAGGTTTAGAGGGTTTAGGGTTTAGGGTTTAGGGTTTTCAAGATTGATATTCTTTGCATCAGTACCATTCGTTTTCAATGCCAATAGTATGATAATTATGATCCTTATTACTATGAATGTTCTTATTTCTTATTTCTTAGGGTTAGGGATCAAGCTTTAGGGCTTAGGGATCAAGCTTTGCGGTTTAGGGATCAAGCTTTGCGGTTTAGGGATCCAGGTTTGGGGTTTAGGGATCCAGGTTTCGGGTCTAGGGATGCAGGTTTTGGGTTTAGGGATCCAGGTTTCGGGTCTAGGGATGCAGGTTTTGGGTTTAGGGATCCAGGTTTGGGGTTGAGGGCTCAAGGTTTGGCCTCTATAGGTTCAGGATTTCGGGTTTAAGGGCTTGTAGTTTAGGTTTGAAGTAGGGATTAGTGTTTAGGGTATAGGTATACAGGAGTATGTGGGGTTCAGGATTTTGGGGGGGCCTCCCCGGCACCCTGCCCTAAACCTTAACAGCTCTTTACCATGCAGAGATCACCCCAAACCCTAAACCCTGAGCCCTAAACCCTAAGCCCTAAACCCTAAACCCTAAACCCTAATCCCTAAACCCTAAACCCTGAGCCTTAAACCCTAAGCCTTAAACCCGAAGCCCCAAACCCTGTACCTCAAAACCTTTAAAGAAATCAAATCCAAGTCAGTCAAAGAGACAACGCCTCATGCAGTTGCCATGTCCATGCCTCGCACGGGAATGGGATATTTAGGGTTTAGGGTTTAGGGTTTAGGGCCCCCTTATTGGGATAATGGAAAAGAAAATGGAAACTACTATATTATAACAGGGACTTCAGGGGTCTAGGGGTACCTAGTATAATGGAGAATCAAATGGAAAAGAAAATGGACAATGAAATGGAAACTGGGATTATATAGGGGATTATAAAGGTTAGAGTCTAAACTCTTAGCATCCCCCTTCATGAATAACTGCGAAAGTTTTCCCCTATATAATCCCCTATAGAACCCCCTAAAAGGAGTTTAGACTATAGTCCCTATTTTGTCAAAAATGCGGCTGTCTTGCATACCGCCGCAATACACTTAAGAACTTTCCATGCAACCCGAAGCCGCTAACACTTAAACTCTAATCCTAATCCCGCGGACTAGCAATGACACGGTTCGCTTTAAGCCTGGGGGTTACAATGTAGACCTGAGTCATATGCTGCTTCAAAAAGTAGAATGCTACTACCTGGACCCCAAAAGTAGGCAAAATCATAGCCCAAAACCCCTTACTAAATATAGCCCGAAGGGCAATTATTCTACATACTTTTGGGGTGTAGGTAATCTCTATCCTAAACCCTAAACCAGGTAATTGTAATCCATATTCAGGAAAACGAGGTTTTATGAGGCGGGAGCATGCACTATGGACATCAAAACCAGATCTGCTTCAAAAAGTCCAATTGTGACCCTGAACCCTAAACGTCCAAAAAACCCTAAACCCTCAAACCCCTACTTGGAGGCTCAGGGGAGACTTAGTAAGTAGATTAATAAGGGGGATAATTAGTGTTACTATATGGGTTATTGGGATTATTAACCTACTTACTAAGCCCCCCTGACCCTCCAAGTAACCGAATTGCAAGCTAGACCTGCTCTGGAACCCTAAACCCTAAACCGTTAAAAAAAATCATCTGTGCAATCTTCTTCTTGGGATAGATGAATTTCAGGACCCAACCAGCAGGGGGAAGCTAATTACTCTCCAGAGCCTGTTTTGCATTTGGCAGTACGTGATATTGTGGGTTTGGGGCTTAAGTTTCAGGATTATTTTGAATAGTATTCTTTCCCACTTGAAGGCCTCACCCCATGGCGTTCGTCCACGAAGTCCAGATGGGCATCAATTTGAACCAGCACCACCGGCTTTGACAAAGCGGCCAGCGCGGAACACCTACTTGGAAGGGTGTACTTAGGGGTTCTAGTGTAGGGTTTGATGATGGGGAGAACTGCTGCTGTTATATGACTTATCCCTCGAAGTAGGCTGCGGTTCAAATTACAAAGTCTGAATTAGTGTTCAGGGTTTTGAGTGTGGTATCCTGAGCTGTTGTAGGTTGCAGTCACCACTCTAGTAGTGCCTATCACTGCAGGCCAGACGCACAGGTGCAGTTGTTGCATGGTCTCCGCCCAGAATGAAGGGAGTAATGCCGGCAGAAAGTACTTGCTCGACGGCATCGCGCGTGCGGTTTAGAGACAGAGCCTCTGAATGATGTATCCCACCCTAACGAAGCCCTGAGCTTTTGACCCGAAATCCTAAACTCTAAACCCTAAACCCTAAACCTACCCAACACGTCCTACAAATACTTAGGGTTCGGAGTTCGGAGGCCCACAAACCCCACTAATAAAGCCCCTGGCATACCTATTTAGAGGACCATGACCACAACGAGGATCGAATTAAGGACAGTCTATGCTTCCAGTAGCCTTTAGGCATGGACTTTGGGATTGGAGTTGGGGGTCGCCAGCCAGGAACTTTAGATTTGGTGCCTCAAGCAGCTGAGGGTCCATTCTAAGCTTATAGTCCCCCTTAAGTAGATAGAATATGGCTTTGGGTATATCATAACAAGATCCCCATATACCTCGTATTCGATCTACTTAAGGGGAACTATATCTTGAGGGTCCTTTACTTGCGAAGGCCCCGGCTACCCTGAGATGCCTGGTCTGTGTGGACGATGTCGACATCCCCTATGTCGATGACATTCCCATATTCATACGTCTCCTCAGTATCTGCATCATAGACCTCCTTGTGCCCAAACCTGGGCTGCTGTCAAGCAATTCAATCTAAGTTACTACAATGGGGGAGCCATATGAATTACTATATATATATAACTATATATATACCCATTATAGTGACTTAGATTAAGTTCCTTATAACAACAACCCAGAAACTGGTACAAGGTAGATGATTCCCTGATTCCGCGGGGGCCCATTCTGGCCCCAGATCGATACTGCGTCCCCATGTCGTTTGGAACTCCTAGGACCTTAGCTGGGATAACTTGTAGTCTCCTCAGACCTATAATAAAAACACTACTTTAAGTATTTCCTTAGGGTTCTACAAGAATAAAGAAAATCTGAAGGACGGTACAGTAACTCTGTGGTGCTTAGACGGGAAGAATGCAAAGGGTTCTTGGGATGAATGTGGAGGGTTATATGGGGATGTCTCAAATTAGGGATATCATTAAACTGGGGGGTTCCAATGAAAGGGATTATGGTATTGGGGGCTTATGTGGGGATCCCCTATTCATGGAAAATACCATGCAGGAACTACTTTAGAGATCCATTACCTCCTTCGCCACTACGCACCATTTAGACAGATCTTCGAAGGTTTCGGGGATGGGGTCTGGGGTTCACCCTCATCCCCCCCCACCCTAAACGCTAAACCCCAAACCCTAAACCCAAAAACCTAAGTTTCAAGTTGTTGTGCTATGTTCAAGCTGATCCTTGTGTCATAGAAGCATGCAGGAACTTTTCTTGGCCTTCGTTAGGAAGATTAACATCATGCAGACCGACGCTAAACCCTAAATCGTAAACCCTAAACTCTTAGGGTTTGGGCTCTATAGCTTGCTAGTGCTTCAGGGGAGTGAGGGAGTGGATCCCTGTTTGGGGATTGGGGTTTAGTGGAAAATTTCCCTTACATACCCCCCTTTGTAGTACCTCAACTCACTCACTTACCCCCCCTCGAGCACCAATAAGATACCGGCCGTGCGACTGCAAAGTCCGGAAGGCCCCCTGCGGGATGATGAAAAGTTCCCTGCAGATCAGAGGGCGGAAACTTGCCAAAAGTGGTGTGCCCAACCTCAGGGATTGGGGATTTAGGGTTTAGGGGTTATATAGGGATATTATATATTTATATAAATATGAGGATACATGGGGATATGTGTGGAGAAGGAAAAATTCATACCCAGTAAAAAGTTACAAGCATCCCAAGCTCTGACCCAGCCACGAATGGAAGATTCAGCCGCCCCTTGACCTTAGCCCACATTTGCCCAGGAAGAAAAAAGGATCCTTTTTACTTAAATATAAGGAATCCCATACCCCAAAAAGTAGAAAAAGGATCCCTAAACCCTATAATATTCCCATAACACCCCTATATACCCCTATATAATCCCTATATCCCCCTTTAAAGGATCCCTAACATTGATCCAGTTACGTATGCTCCATCTTCAGCAAAACCGTGCGGAAGCACAACGAAGCAGTAAAGTGTGCCCAGGAGACGGCCGGCGCCCATGGCTCGATGTACGCCGCTTAGGGTTTAGGGATTAGGGCTTAGGTTTATATTGGGGTTATATAGGGTTTAGGATGGTTTAGGGTTTAGGGCTGAGGTTTATATTGGGGTTATATTGGGGTTATATAGGGTTTAGGATGGTTTAGGGTTTAGGGCTTAGGTTTATATTGGGGTTTTATTGGGGTTATATAGGGTTTAGGGTTTAGGGCTTAGTTTTATTGGGGTTATATTGGGGTTATATAGGGTTTAGGGTTTAGGGCTTAGGTTTATATTGGGGTTTTATTGGGGTTATATAGGGTTTAGGGCTTAGGTTTATATTGGGGTTATATAGGGTTTTTGGTGTAGGGCTTAGGTTTATATTGGGGCTATATTGGGGTTGGGCTTAGGTTTATATTGGGGTTATATTGGGGTTATATTGGGGTTATATTGGGGTTATATAGGGTTTAGGGTTTAGGGCTTTGTGCTTAGGTTGGGCTCTACTTTCAGGTTCTTGGAGGTTCCTGGGGATTAGCAAGTATGCCTATAACCCCTATATGCCATCTTACTTGGAGGTTTAGGGGGGCATCACATTTTTCGACACGTTATAATTCCCCGCCAACGAATCCCCAACATTAACCTGCTAACGAAAGCCAAGTAGGCTCTACCTGGATAGCTGCTTTGTGGCTGTGGCATTTTTGGAGAAGGACTCGCTCAAGGCGCGAAAAGCAGTAGATTGGAGGCTGTAGGTAGGGTCTAGGTCTTAGGTCCAGGCGGCTTCGGCTTACTTGATTGTAGTCCCACCATGCAATGACAGCTAAGAATTGGAAACGCTGACTTACAGGTTAAGATTGTTGTGAATGTGTATCTGTATAAAAATATATACATATGTGCATACATGAATACACATATATGCATGTGTAAGGAGCGGTGCCCAAAACCTGCTTTTACGCTTGAGGCTTCTGGTGGCACCACCATGGAAAGCCCGACCAAAGTGAATAGGAGTCGTGCCCATTGTGTGTACCCTAAACTATAAGTCGAAAGCTTAAATCCCTGAACCCCAAACCTTAAACCTTATTGCGGGTCATTCAAAGTGGAAGGCGGTGATCTCACGGCGCTGCGGTAGGCGAGAAGTAGACGAGAGTTTCGGGATGAGGGGATTTGCTAAAATCAGATTTATTGTTGTGGGGGTTTAGAGTGAAGGGTCCCTACTGTTGATGGATGAATTCTTGCACCACCTAGGGACAATAAACTACTGTAGTTCCTAGGACTTTAAGGACTTAAGGTGGTGCAAGATGTCCTCCATCAACAGTATGGAAAGGATTGTGGTGTATGTTGTTGTCGACATGGGGGTTTCCCAAAATTAGGGGTACCCTTTTTGGGGGTCCCAATAACAAGGATTATAGTATTTTGGGGTCTATATTGGGGTCCCCTTATTTTGTTTGGGAAACTACCACATTGGGTTTGCTCCATTTCTGGAACCACCGCTTGGGTTTGATCCGGTGGCTTGGAGCTACGGGGTGAAGCTTGAACCTTCAGGCTTAAACTGGGTTGCTGTTAAGGAACTTAAATTAAGTTACTATATTAGGGAAACCCTATTATCTACTATATATGCCCATTATGGTAACTCAAATTAAGTTCCTTAACAGCAACCCAGTAAACCCTGACCCTAAACCCTAAACACTAGCAGCCCTTGAACCCCAATCCTTACCTATAGGTTGGAGGGCGAACTACTTATAACCTACTTCTAACTGTTTAGGGTTTGGGGTGTCTTAAGGGGCATATCTTTGGGTCATAAGGACAGCTGTAAGTAGATTATACGTAGCCAATCCTCCGAGTAGGTCTGAATGATACTTGGAGGTTTTTAGGGGTCAATTGCACAGAGTTAGAACTCCCCCTAGCTAGGTTGCAAGTCCAGTCATCCCATGCTGACCTCAATTATCTTATTTCTACGCATCACATGAACCCTCCTGCAAACCCGACCCTCTACTAAACCCTTTGAAACAAAGGAGCTTACGACTGATGACCCTAAACCCGAAAACCCTAAAATGCGGGTCGGCGGGCACTGGATTTGGGTTTGCAAGGCCTTTTCTTGAGTAAAAACAAGACGAAACCTGGCAGTTGCTTTCAAGCTTAGGGCTTAGGCGTTAGGGTTGAGGGCTGACGGGTCAGGGTTGAAGGCTGAGGGGCGTAGAAGCTGGGGTTTCCAAACCCTAGTGCTATGAGTATATATATATATATATGTAAATATAAAAACGGTTAGTTAAGGATATCTTGGGGTTTGGGGTGTAGGCTTCAGGGTTTACATAGGGTTATATAGGGAGTATGAAAGGCTATTACCCCAATGGAGGAGAAGCGCATTGCAAAATTAAGCGCGTGGATGCATATGGCCTTTACTCAGCATGAGAACTAGATGAGAGGCCAGCACCCGCACAACTTTGCAACCCCACTCTATCCCGGAGACCCCCTACTCCAGAGAGCCTTGAAAACCTAAACGCAAAACCCTAAACCCAAACCTTGACATTGAACCCTTGAACCCGCAGCCTGAGCCCTAAATCTACTAAACCTGAAACCCTAAACTCAAAAGCTGCTAAAACTGCTAAAAGGATCCTCCGTAACCTGGGAAGGGTTTCAGGTCTGGGGCTTAAAGTTTATAGGATTTAGGGTTTAGGATTTAGGGTTTTGGGTTCAGGATTTAAGGGCTCAAGGTAAATTTAGAGGCCCGTTTGAGTATAACATAAATTTGTGAGGAAACTAGAACCTCTCTAGGGGAAAGGAGCTTCTGGCAGATCCCAGAAAACTAAATCCTACTAAATACCTACAACCCCAAGCACCGAAACCCTAAACCCGTAAAACCCTAAGCCCTAGAACCCTAAACCCCAAATCCTAAAACCCTAAACCCTAGGTCCTACGCCCTAGTGTCTGGGCCCATCGCGGAACTCGGCACGGATCTCCTGAAGCGTGGCGCCGCGCTGCACACCCAGCAGCTCCTTGCGCGCTAA